TATTTGAGTCTTGAAGTTGACCAAGCATGGGCACATGGTATGATGGGCCTAGGGCCCTGGGAGGGGACGGTTCTTTCCCAATGGCATGGAAAAAGTGGGGAGACTACTTTATATGGGGTGGTCTGAGATCCGAGTCATGGGAAGGAGCCAGTCACATGAAGAGCCTAGGTAGGAGGGAATGGCAAGTGCTAAGGTGGTTTGAGGAATAGTAAGGAAGACCAGTGTGGCTGAAGCACGGTGAGCGAGGAGGGAGAGAGGACCACCATACTCCGTCTATGCTACCCATTCAGGGTCTTGATGGTCTGGTATACTCTGGTACTTAATATATTTAATCTCATCTTTCTGTCTATCAATCCATCTATTCATCTATTCCACAAACATTTATTACACCAGACAATAGGTGGTACTAAGCAAGAGTTCACCAAGCAGAGTGAGGAAGACCCACAATCTAGGCAGAGAAAACCACATGAGCCAAGGCCTGGAAAGGAAAAAGCTTACCACTTGGGTGGGGCCTATTGGGAAGGGCCTTGAATGCCAAGCCTCCATCCCAGTGGACATTCCACCACGTTGAGAGAGCAGAACATCAGAAAATGTTGATATGTGGAAAAAAAAATTAATGAAATTCATGATTCTGGGATAAATCAGATATAGTCTTATACTATATTCTAACACAGCCAAGCGGTAGCAGGGACCAAAGGCTTAAGAAAAAGTGAGGGGAGAAACACTTAAAATGGAGTCTACTCCATCAATTAGCTTAATTTTTTTCTGCCAACCAAGACAAGATCATCATTAGTTACTATTAGTGATGGCCTGGCTTAGAGAGCACCTGCTTTCTGCTGAACATTGCTGGTGTGGGACAGAGGGAACTGTTTCAGGGCCTCAATCAGGCAGTGACATGATGAGATTTGTGCTTTGGAAAGGTCACCGTGGCTGCTGGGTAAAGGATGGATGGAGAGGGAGAGAGAGTGGCTATTAGGAGGCTCTTGGAGAAACGCACATGATGAGAACCATCATTTGGGCAGAGGTAGCAGAGACTGCAAATTCTTTGAAGGCAAGATCTTTGCTCTGTTTCATCCCTTTTAGCAGGGCCTGGTAAGAGCTAGGCACAGCCACTGCTAGAGGTTTAGAAATACCCACTGAATTGAAACCTGGTATAAAAACCTAATGCAGTCTGGACAAGCAAAACTGTTGCCTCTCTCCGGAGTCTCTCTGCTTGCGAGGGGCATCATGGCTGAAGACAGACAGAGCTAGAGAGTTTTCTGAGGTTGGAAATACTCAAGGTTTTGAGGAGCTATTTGGGGAGACACAATACAAAGCTTCTGTTTCCTAAATCCAGCCAGAATCTGCCTGTTGTGTCAGATCTGAGCAAACGACACATTCATTAGGTTTGGGGGCTTTTGCTGTTCATCTTGATAGAAGAATGACCATCTGTCTTTCAGTAGGTGCTAGAAAGACCCAAGTTAAAAGGGGTTCATTTGAGACTGTTTAAACTCCTCTTCCATGCGAGAATATGTTGCCATATGATTCTCAAACCAGAGAATAAGAATCTTGAAAACGTGCTTGGAGAGAACCCAGTTCCCAGCACCGTGCCCTACTCTTTGGAGTCAGCCGTGATGCCTTCCAGGGAGAGTCCAGCCCATGTGAGGTTTGTGTCAGCAAGACGGCTACTGTCATAAGCCACATTGCCCATTTACGGAGCATTTACTACGAGGGCTTCATGAGCCTACCTCATCTAAACTTCTTCACCAAAGGGCGAGTTGTGCACTGCTGACCCATTTTGTCTAACCACTGACCTGTCAGCACTCGGAAACCTACTGCCCCTGCCATCATCTGGCTTCAGCCGGGAAATTCCATGTTTATGGTTCCCTTCCACACTGATTAAGATGACAAGAAGACAATGAAACATTTGTCTCCAAAAATGACTTCTTGGATCTATTGGCAAAATGTTAGAAAGTGGGTATGAAGCCCAAGAAACAGGACACCCAGGCTCTTTGAGCTTGGGGAGTATTACAGAATCCTATCCCAGGCCAAGAATGAGTCACAATGAAAGCTTTTAAAATATAAAACCATCAACCTAGATTTCAATTCCAAGGAAACACATACTTGGCCATGAGGGAAAGCTTTAAAAAAAAAAATCAGGCTCAAGCCACTTGACAGGAAAATAAAACAGCCAAGGAACATTCAAATATAATGATTTACATTCCCCCCACACCCCCATCTCCCCATCTCCTTTCCAATATGGGTCAGGGCACACGTGGACAAGATCACCACTAGCGTGCATGACCTCTCCAGGGCTCCCTTCTTTTCACTTAACACTATTTCACGCACACAATCTCTTGCCTGGACGCAGCGGGGTTATAGCTGCACAGTGCTGCCTTTGGGTTGCTATGCCAATCTCATGGATTCTTCATCATTTTTTTGCTCTTGGGCTCTTGGGTTGCTTGGAGTAGCTGTTTTGGGAATACGAGGATTTTTCTTCCATTATTTATGTGTGCGAGCACTGTTCATTTCTCTCAAAGAAATGGAAGCTTGATTGATTTCCTAAATGTAAGAACGAGATTGTCCTGCAATAAATATTTAAGACTGACCAGGAAAAGCGACCACCATCTGCTGAAACACAAGCCCAGGAATTACTTTCCTAAGCTTTCCAAGCAAAGGGAATAAATGAATAACCATCCTATATAACATCTGCTCACCACTGGATAGTGTACAAAGGTTTTCACTTATCTTATTTGATCTTCACAATAGCCCCGAAGAGGTAGACAGGGCACAGATTACAGGATTATTAAAAGCCCCCCAGTTTTCTTTCTTAACAGATAAGGGCTCTACAGGCTTAAAGTCACTTGAGGGCGGTCAGAGACTGTGGGGACTAAATCTCCAGTGTCTAATTCATTCATGCACATATTTCAAAAACATTTATTGGGAGCCTATTCCAAGCCAGATGAAATGGCAGTGGGTACAAAGATGAATAAAACACAGTCCCTGCGTAGGAGGAAGATCACGTTCTAGCCTGAAGCAGAGAGCCAGAAGTAAACAAGTCCCTGCTTTGCAAGGTGATGAGTGCTCGGGAGAAAGGAACAGAGTGCGACCACATTTCTAATCTGATGTTCTCACCGAAGACCGGCTCAGTTATTTATAAAATCTGCCCTCCGAAGGGGGAGTTGAGGGGCTTAGCCGTGTGTCTGGAGTCAGATCTCACTGGGGAGATCTGATGCGGTGTGGGGACACAGTTCTCCCTCATTCGGCAAACATGCAGATATTTACCGGGGTGCCGAGCTAAGCCTGGGGGTCCACACCCCGGCTCCCCGAATTTCCCTCCACGAGCTAACTCAGGGTCTCTGCCTTTGGAGCGGCGTCTTCATCGCGCCGCAGCCTCCAGCTCGGGGAAGGCAGGCTGCTCGCTGTCTGCGGCTGCACGCGGCGGCGAGACAGGCTGCGAGGTTTTGTCTCGCCCGAGCACGGTCCACGGCCGGGAAAAGTCGGCGAGCTAGAGCCCCTTCCCCGCGCATCGCCCTCTCCCACCGCCCTCTGTCTGGAAGCCGCGGCCCCTTCCCCGAAATGAACGCGCCAGCCCGGCTCTCGCGTTTCTTTTTCTTTTCTTTTATGCATTTTGTTATTTCCTCTAAACATATTTTTAATATTAATCTTTAGTCACACAACGGACGCATACATTCTCCTTTAGAAAACAAAATATATGTCCTGGTTGCCAGCGATCCGGGTGAGCCCCCTGGGGTCACCGGACCCCCGCCGGCGCGGCCGTCTCCGCGCCACCCGGGCGCCCTTCGTGAGCGCCGACAGCGGCTTTGTTCTCGTTTTGCTTTACGCCCCTTTGCAAGCCCAGCGCTTTGCACGCGGGAAACGCTCGGAAAAGACACACGTGTGTGTCAGGTTTATTTAATGCAGGAACAAATGCAGGGGTGAGGGCCCGCTCCCGGATTTCGGGGCGATTTCCCTTTGTGAAGACCTCACTCCCGAGCCCCGCGGTGGTCTCGGCTCGCCGGGGGAGGGGAAGCCGGTCCTGCCCAAGCCCCGGGCCCCCGGCTCCGCGACCCCGAGCTGCTCCCGGCTCGGCCTCGGCCTCGAGGCGCCCGTGGGGTGGCC